CAATCCCTTGTCTCTATGTGAAAGGAGGTTATTCCATAGTGGTTTCTGAGGTCTCTGAAACTGGATTCACTTTCAGATTTGATCCTTATATTTATGATTTGATATTGGCATTGAACTCCATGATACGATAGATTTTTTTTTTTTTTTTTTCAGAATCTGCTGGAACAATTGGCTTTGCTCTCAGCATTATGGAGCTTCTGGGGGCGGGTAAATAGTTATTTTACATCTGTTTGTAAACCAGACAGGAACAACTTGAACTATGTCTAACCACCTTTATTTAGAGCTGTGTTTTTTGTTTCTTTGTTTTCGTTTCTATTTTTGAGACAGGGCGTCACCCTGTGCTAGGCTGGAATGCAGTGTGGTGTGATCTAGGCTCACTGCAGCTTCAAACTTCTGGGTTCAAGTGATTCTCCCACCTCAGCCTCCTGAGGAACTGGGACCACAGGCATGTGCCACCATGCTTGGATAATTTTTAAAAACTGTTTTGTAGAGACGATTTGTTTCCATGTTGCCCACGCTAGTCTCAAATTCTTGAGCTCAAGCAATCTACCTATGTTGACCTCCAAAGTCTAAAAGACTGCAGAGCCTTGCTTTTCATTTGTTTTGAGTTGTTTTATAATCCAGTTTTGAATCTGTAAGTTTGGGTTCATTCTGATATTTACAATTACCATCCTTCTTCACACAATTCTCATAGCCTTGATCCATTACAGAAGCCACCTTGTTCATCTCTGCTCATAGCCTAAACTAATAGAAGCCAGAGGGAAGAAATGGAAGCCAACACGAGTCCAGAACACACATTTTATAAGAGCATAAGAAATTTTAATATAGCAAAGTAGACCATAAAGTTTGTAATAGATGTGCATGCTTAAAATTCACTCCTAGTTTAATCAGTATATTCTATAAACAGAGAAAAATTTAAATATGTGAAAAGTAAGAAAATCTCATTATTAATATACAATTCATGTCAAGAATATGGCTTATGTTTTTATCTTTGCAAAACTTGGGGGCACTTGGGTGGGAGGAGGAAGAATTTATAATCATGGGGAGTGTGTGTGTCACCAGCGGATGCCCTTTGACAAGGGGGTGAATGGCATCATGAGACCTGCTGTGTTCACAGCTCTGTGGGAGCACAACTAGCTATGGTCTCCCCCATCAGACCCACTGGGCAGTGTTGAGTTACCAACACTGAGGTGGAGCCCACCCTCCCAGGTCAGAAGAGGAGAGACATTGCAGTCAGAAGCCACTGTGCAGCAAGCTCCTTTCCAATAGAGACAAGGGATTATTTGACTCCTTATCTCTGGTGTCCAGCACAACATCCAGAACACAACAGATATTCCATATGCACGGTCACATCCTACATGTGTGCGTTTATTTTCCAGCAAAAGGTAGAGGTCCTCCACTATGTTAATCTGGTGAGCCAGTGCCCGAAGGAGCAGGAGAATCTCAGCACAGCCACCTACACATTCATTTCAATTCTCTGACCCCTTATCCAAGCTACTCCAAATGTGGTCTATGGTTTTGAATTTTAAGGAGATCCCCGGATGAATCTCGAGCATGTTCAGGGGAAGCACTGTCCTACATCATATGTATCACTGTCCTATATCATACATCTACTTGTCACCATCGTCATGGGAACTGCGTCAAAGCATTTAACTCTACAGGCTCTGAAATCAGACGACTTAGGTTTGCCTTGCCTCTACTTCTTACTAAGCAGAGAACGTTGGGGCACGATACTTTCCTAGGCTCAGTTTTATCATGTCTAAATTGGAGGCAGTGGGAAATGATAGCATTTCATATAAAATATTGTTTTAAATATGGTATAAAATAATACACAGGAAGCTTCTGCATATGCTAAGTGCACAATAAATATTGAGCTATTCATACCTCATTTAATCCTAATAAGAGGTCTATAAATGTATATGCAAAGATTTTTTTCTGTAGGTACCCAAAGTTTCACAATTAATCTGGATTTAAAACAAATAATTTTCTCCTTATAGTGGCCAATAAATACGACATGCCACAATTATATGTGAGTATATTATTGTTTATGGGAATATAAGAAATTTGCCCTCAAAAGAGGGAAGATAAACTGTATTTGCTGACTCCAGAAAGTTGCCTCTTACATGAGAGTTGGCAATTCCTTGGGGAAAAGAAGAGAAAGTTGATTCTGCAAATAAAAATTACCATAGAGTCCTCTCTATGGCAACATCCAAAATGGAAACCGATTCTCCTCTTCCGGAGAATCTGCACAGATGAGTGAAACACAACCTACTGAGCATCAGGTTAAAGAAGGCAAGAACTTTAATGGCACAGGAGGAATCATGTCACTGCTGCGGAAGTCGATATGACTTAGTGTTCCTCTGCCATCCTCTGAGGCCAAGGATGGATTAAATATCAGTGGCTGACCTCAGGAAATGGAAGGAGCAAAAGAGCTGTAAGAACGCGTGCATATGTAATTAAGAGGGTGACAAGGACTTTTTTAAAGGCAGTTCCTAGCTTTGTTCCCCTCCTGTTTACCTCACTGGTGAAGGAGCTCATCTTGCCCTGGGAACACTGAGAAGATGAAATCGACAATAATTTATTAGTCACTCGTACTGAGCCCAGGGCAGATGTGTCTGCATCTCTGCCGGTCTCTGTGGGGGCTGCACTTCGGAACAGGATGAGCAAGCAGAAGGTGTGGGAGGAAGGCTTGGCAGTGATCAAAGGCTGGGGTGACCTCTGTTCCCTTGGGGGAAAGTGCTTGACTTATGTGAAGAGTTTTGCAGTTGGGCAGGTGGTAAAAGCCGTTAGGCTGAGGACCTCGTGGGGTGTTGCGTGAAATTTTAGGTGTCACTGATATAATTGACTCGTGATGCTTTAACATGAGACATAGATTTAATGATGACTCATATTTTGAGAGGCTGAGAGAAGACTGGTGGGAAATTGAAATAAGTGCTTGGGGTATGAGAGATTAGGAGGGCCACAGTTATAATTACTGAAATGTGAAAGCCGATGCACAGCTACTGCCCCCACTTACTCAGCAGGAGGTAAAAGGAGGTGGGGCCTCTGGCAGCACAAGCATGTTCGTGAATATTTGGGTGACATTACGCATTTCCCATGCACTGGTTTTCGTGTCTCCAGTAAGTTTTAGGTAAGTCTGGTATTACGGACCCACATGCAGCAGGCAGCCTCCTGGACAGTCCAGGAGTGAATGGTGGTCAAAATGTGAACTCCTTGATGTCCAGTAAAGGCGACGGAGGGAACTGTGTAATGCTGGTGTAAAAAGCACACGTTCCTGAGGAATATGAACTTAGAGTGATCAAAGTCCATGGCAATGGTGGACCCGGCAGGACATCCACTCCCTGCTTTGTAACTTAAATAGGAATTCTTTGAGAAGTTCAGTCTCTCTCTCAACAAAAGCAGCTGCTGGCAGCCTATCAGGGCAGTGGAAGCTCTACTGGACATCTTCAAAGCCCAGAACTGTTTTCTGAGAAGTGAAATCTGTGCCTTGGTCACCATCAGCAGTGTCTGGAACTCTGCAGGGAATAAGGAGTGACCGTGTGAGATCCATACTGTGTCCTTAGTTAATAAAAAGGCATCTATTACCTTGCTTGGTATTCTGAGTATCCATGAGACAAGAGGTTTCTTTATTTCAATGGGTAGGGGAGGTGGACAATTCTTGGTAACGGCCAAAAAGTTTGTAAAAATGTACAAATGGGGCTAAGTGTTGGTGCAGCGTCAGTGCTCAGACGACCACCCAAAGCTCGGCTGGCCGTACTGATGCCTGGGTCTCACCCTTTATCAGGAGCACCCTAGCAAAGAGCGGGAAGGCAGCGGCAGCCACTGAGCTCCATCACATCTGACAATAGCATCAATTCAGAAAGTGGATGAGCTTCACTTCTGGTCACTCAGGCAATGCCAAGGGGTCTGGCAGAAAGGTAACTTCCAGTACCATGACCTGGGGATGAAGGAGGCCACTGCTTCCTGCAGATGAGAATGCGGGGTTCCACGTTTGACTATGTCCTGAGGCAAGGAGGTCTCTACAGCTGTGCCAAGACTGTGGGGTGCTGCTTCCAAGGCCTGATGTCCAGAAGGGCAGGAAGGCTCATGACATGGACGCAGAGCCCTCTGTTTCTAGGAGAGTCCAGACGTGGTCAGCAGTCACCACCCTGATGGTGTACAGCATGGGGCCAAAAGAGGGCAGGTTTGTTTTTCCGCATCGGAAGTCCATGGACAACTTACGGTCTCCATATGTAGCCCAGATATTTCAGGAAGCACGGGAGGGAGTTGCTAAAGCATCCGCAGTGTGATCTCTGAGGGAGTCATAAGAGCTCCTGTTAAATTTGGACAAATTCCAGACTTGCTGGAGGAAGCTTCTTTCAAGGTGAGTTAGTTTGCAAGTGACAGCATCAGTGAGATCCAGTAAAATTTGTAAATGAGGACTATGTTGTCACCTGCACCCCAAATAAAAAGTTAAAGGGCTGGGCCCAGTGGCTCACACCTATAATCCTAGCACTTTGGGAAGCTGAGGCAGGAAGATTGCTTGGCCCAAGGAGTTTGAGACCGGCTTGGGCAACGTAGCAAGACCTCATCTCTACAATAAATAAAATTAGCTGGGTGTGCTAGTTCACACCCGCAGTCCCACCTACTTGGGAGGCTGAGGTGGAGGGATTGCTTGAGCTCAGGAGGTCAAGGCTGCAGTGAGCTAAGACTGAGCCACTGTGTTCCTGACTGGGTGACAGAGCAAGACTGTGTCTCAAAAACTACATCAATAAAGAAGAATGGACTTGTATTAACATTGTCAATACTGAGAGGATCAATAACCACTTCTTGAAAGTGTCGGGGATACATCAGCCCTCAGTTTACCAAAGAATTTTCAGGAATTTAACCAAAGGGGCAGGGCCTTGCACCACGTGTTGGGGAAAGGTCCATTCCGTTTGTATGAGACTCTTTGTACCTGTATGTTCTTAGCTGTAAAACGAATTTTATCTGAGAAGGATGCCATCAGTATAATATCATACCTGCGTTCCTGTAGGAAGGTGGCTGCAGTGAGATCTTGTCTGCAAAGCCTGCCAAGGCACTCCGTGGGACACCTGGACCCTTCAGAGGGGAGGCAGACTGTGGCTGAGACTCTGTTAAAATAGGCACAAAACACAACACGTTAGCCAAATCTATAACAACAAAATATTTACCAGTTACATGCATATAGGTAGGTTTGGCTCCTGTGGTTGTGATAGTTAATACTGAGTGTGAACTTGATTGGGTTGAAGGATGTAATGTATCGTTCTTGGATGTGTCTGTGAGGGTGTTGCCAAAAGAGACTAATGTTTGAGTTAGTAGACTGGGAGAGGCAGACCCACCCTCAGCCTGGGTGGGCACCATCTCATCAGCTGCCAGCCTAAAAAGCAAGCAGGGAAACAGCAGATGCTGAGACTTCTGGCCTCCATCTTTCTCCCATGCTGGTTGCTTCCTGCCCTGGAAAATAAGACTCCAAGTTCTTCAGCTTTTGGACTCTTGGACCTACACCGGTGATTTGCCAGGGGCTCCCAAGCCTTCGGCCACAGACTGCAGATTGCATTATCAGCTTCCCTACTTTTGAGGTTTTGGGATTTTGACTGGCTTCCTGGCTCCTCAGCTTGCAAATGGCCTATTGTGAACTTCACCTTGTGACTATGTGAGTCAATTACCCTACCCCTTCATACATATATCTATATGATCAGTTCTGCCCCTCTAGAGAACCCGCACAGTACTGTGGCCACAGCTGATTCAGCCACAGCCACCAGCAGTCTGGGACTACACTGGCTGAAGACCCCATTTGTACTCTTTTGTGTTTGTTTGATGGTGTTGTGCTTAAAATCATATATTTTTTGTTTATGGTTTTTGGGAAAAATTTTGGAGAGATTAAAAAACTTCACTGTCATGATGATCTTAATGCTACTACAGCTGACCCTGAGAATACAACTTTGAATAGCCCAAGTCAACTTAGACACTCCGATTTTCCTCCACCTCTGCCACCTCCGACAGCAAGACCAACCCCTCCTCTTCCTCCTCCTCCTAAGCCTGCCCAATGTGAAGACGAAGAGGATGAAAAGCTTTATCATGATCCACTTCCACTTAATGAATAGTACGTATGTTTTCTCTTCCTCACTTTTGTCTCAATAACATTTTTCCTCTCTTACGTTACTGTAGGAATATAGTGGGTAATGCAGATAACATACACAGTATGTGTTAGTAGACCGTTAATGTCATCTCTAAGCCTTCAGTTGGTAAGCACATAGAGCATTAGTTTTGTCCATAGGGTATTAGCAGTTAAGCTTTTGGGGGGGTCGATAGTTGTATGTAAACTTTTAACTGTGCTAATCCTGTGCTTTTTCAAGGGTCAATTGTACTTAAACTTTCTGCGAGGCATAGAAAGTAGTTATTTTAGTCAAATGTCTTGCAGCTGCTATTTGAATGCTTGCTCTGTGTTCAGAGCTACAAATTATCTTTTCAAATGAAAATAGCATTTTCTACTTTTTGGTGCTCTTTGAATCACAGGTCATTTGGGCACCTGGATATATTTAGTTATCTTCAAGGATTCAATCTATGCTGTCTCTTCTAATTGATCATTTTGAAATCTTGTCATTTGTGTTTAAACTCTCTAAACCGGATCTCTACTTTATGTATTTAAGCTTGGGATTTTCCACTAAAATTTTTTATCAAGACACAAGAAAACAGTTTAGATAGTAGACAATAACTTTTAGTAGGTTTTTATAATCCTTGGTATTTTTTAAAAAATGTTGGCTTTACTCCAAGTTGTACTTGCTTGGAGGTATATAAATTTATTGTTATTTAGTAAAAGTTACAGAGATAAATTAATGAAGTTCTCTGAGTTCGTTTGGATGCTCAGTGTTGTACTGCTAAGGTAAAACATACATCACATTTCAGTGAAATAAGACAGAATACAATATGGGAATTGAATTCTGCATGGCTAAAAGGCTTCAGTAGAATTCTCCTAGGTGAAAATTTTCTTCTAAATCAGCATCTGTTTAAAATGCATTTAAATTTTTTAAGATTTGCATTTTTATGTTTCACTAGGACATTTGAGCTATAGTTTACCTAAAATAAGTAGATATTAAATTGGCATTGTTTGCTTTTGACCTTTGAATCTGTGAGTGCTAACTCTTGTAATATTGTTAGTCAATTAACTAACACAGTCTAAGGCCGTACTATTTCTATGGTCATGTCTTATATGCGGTCTCTTAGAGAGTCATATTGCTATCTCTTTATATGTTGTACAATACGCCTTTTAGGTCAGCTTAAAGCTCTCTTTCCTTTAGCATTTGCTTGCATTGTTTCCCAAGTGTCTTAAGAAAAGCTGCTTTGATTTGATCATGTCTAGTCTTCAGAGGAAACTAAAATATCTTCAATTACATGAACATTATGAATATATTTGGCTTATTAAATGTAATTGTCTTGATAGCTCCTTCTTCTCCGTTCTATTTTATCTTTTAGTTTCCTATTTCTCTCCTTTAGCATAGAAAATCCAGAGCCACAGTGTCCAGGAAGGGAGCCAATCGTGACCTGTGGCCTTGGAGTACTTGAAACGTGAGGAGCCCGAGGTAAGACGTGCCTAGCTGTAAAATACACGCTGGATTTCAGAGGCAGGGCAAGAAAGAATATTGAAACCCCTCACTGAAGATTGTGGTATGCATTATCAGTTGAAAGGTCATTGTGAGGACATGTTGGGTTAAATAAAACATATTATTCCATTAATTTCACATATTACTTTTTATTTTTAATGGAGCTACTAAAATTTAAATTACACTTGAGAACTCATTATATATTTTTAGACAGTGCTTATCTTGAGGGACAAGATACAGCTGCTAAGACCTGAACCTAACAAAATATGCCTTCATCCTTCTGGTTCCCTCGGCATCACGGTTCACTGTGAGATCATAAAGAATTACACACCAAGTAAGTTATCCCAAGATTCCTCTTTTCCACATGTACATTGAAAACTTGTGGTGTGATTTGACAGGTTAGTAGAAGACTGTGAGATTCAGAATCCCAGCCAAATATGATATCATCATTAATGCACAAAACGTTTGTAACCGATGTTGTGAGTTTCCTACTTAACGCACAGAAGTTGAAATAAATTGAACTAATAATTTCTGAGGAATAAAATTGGAGAGCATTTCAAAAAGTACACTTTTCTAAAACTTAGTCTTTAAATATTCAGATTCATGTAGCTTAAATATTCAACTGAAAGTCTAGCTTTTAAAACAATCCTCAAGGTGATTCTTATGATCAACCCGACTGGGAATTTCCATTCCAATCTTACAGACCTAGATAAATTGAAGGAGTCTAATCACTGGGCCAGAGGTGGCTCAGTTTGTGTTGGATAAACCTTCTGCAGCAGAATCACCTGAGGGTTTCTTTTTTCTTTTTAAATATACTTTTTGATGTATTCCAGAATTGATAAAGCAGGTTATCTGGTGGTAACACCTGGAGATTTGCCTTATAATAAGCTCCTTAAATGAATCTTAGGCACGCAGGTGAGACCATCAGCTGTAATGGAACTCAAGGCCTACCCCAACCCCGAGATTATCTCATCTTACCCTGAGGAGCACACAGGACATTAGTTAAAGCCAAGCACACTGGGCAATGCTGCTGGAGTGTGAAAGGCATTGGAAAGTCTTTGCTTATCTAGCATGTTCTCTGGACTATTTCTATGGAACTCTCCTTTTAAATGGTGACTCCTTGGTTTTTCTTCTGAGTCCTCACTATTTTGGAACGCCTTTCTCATCTGTTGATATGGTAAAAGGACCATGGGCCCTACCCCTAGACTCATACAACATTGAGAAGCCAAACAAATTCTAGAGTCAAGCCCAAAGGAAGGGAAGCCTCTGTGGCCTGACTCCTGGGCTCAGTGCAAGGACTTCCTGGGGCCAAATGGAAGTCAGCAGAGCTCACCAGGGCCATGAACCTGCCAAGGAACGGGCTTTCATGGTACTTGGCCTTAGCATACTTTGACTGCCTCACATAAGATAGCACTGCCCCACCCACTTATGTCTAATTTCTTCCCTGATTTATTCTTCTTCATGGCACTGATTTCCACTTTATGCCATACATAATAATTTGTGTGCCTCCTCTCCAAGTAAAATTTAAACTCTATCCAAGCTGAAGATTTGTTTCTTTCCTGCTATATCCCTAACACGGTAGGCCTCTGAGAAATACATACTGAATTAATACATTTAGGTAAAGGATGAGAATAGCTACTGAATATGACTATGAAAACTGGCTTTGAGAAGAGAAGATATGAAACTCAAGATTTTAAACAACAGCATTGTTAACACCAATAGACAAACATTAGGATTCGATTCAATACATTTTATTTGAAATGTTTTTTAACAGTTCGAGTGTCCAGCAGAAAGCAACAAATGAATAGGTGTATACACCTGTGAAGGAAGCAATGGCTCCACACTTCTCTTCTTGTTTATGATTGTCAGCATGTATACCAAATTCAGAGCCCGTATTCCTGCAGTTTCAAAAATGGCTCTATTTCTGTTCATGATAAATTTGTGAGCCTTATTTTGATGGATACACATAAAGTAATGGATGTTTAGTGTGAAGGAGCTCATTATAAAACACTGTGGTAGTCTAATGAGATAATTTCGAAGAACATAGTGCTTGACAGTTGAAGTTTATTATTGCTGACAAAACTGATAAGTTAGTGTGAGAGGCTCTTACACCAGGAATGGTATTCAAAGCCAGGTAAACAACTCAGAAAGTAAAACAGTTGTGTGACTTCAGAAACAATAAATTATTGGGATTTTTCTTCTAAGAAATGGAAAAGATTGAGTTATGGCCCCATTCCATTGGCTGGGAAGGAAAACACTGGGAGAAGTGCCTGAGGTCTTGCCTATGGGATAAGCGGCGGTGGAGGCTGCAAACTGCCGTGGCTCTTGTGTACCTATCAAGAGCCTTGCGGGTGTGTGCATGGACCCCAGAGCTTAAAGTACAATTTTAAAAAGTCATTTTAATATTGTTATTTATACTGTGAAATAAAGTTGTTTAACTGAAAAAAAAAATTAGTAAATAGAAGCAGATTTTCTAATTTATAAATGATTAATATTGAATGAGGTAATGT